TCAGAAGTATTGTGCCATTTTAATTCACATTGCAGTGGTTTATGAAAGTCTTTTGCCATTTTAATTCAAGTTCTGAAACTATTCAGGCATTTCCATTCACATCGCAGTGGTTTCTGCAAATATTTTTGGGATTTTTATTCATCTTACAATGGTTTCTGAATAGTTTGTGGTATTTTATTTCATGTTCCAGTGGTTTCTGGAAGTGTTTCAACATTGTCATTTACATTGCAGAAGTTTGTAATTGTATTTTGCCATTTTAATAGACACTGCAAGTGTTTTCTGGAAATATTTTTATATTTAAATTAACATTACAGTGGTTTCTGAAAGCATATTTGGAATTTTTATTTATGTTACAGTGGTTTTTCAGAAGCTTTGTGCCAATGTATTTGAAATTGCAGGGGTTTATGAAAGTCATTTGCTATTTCGAATCAAGTTCTTAAAGCATTATAGCAATTAGGCAGACGTTTCTGAATATTTTCTTTCATTTTATTTCCCATTGCAGTGGTTTATAGAAGTATTTTGGCACTTTAATTTACCTTGTAGTGGCTTTAAAATGTATTTTGACATTGTATTACACACGGCACGTTTTCTGGAAATACATTTTTGACATTTTTATTAACATTGCAGTGGTTTGTCAAAGACTTTTTGGCCTTTATTGGTATTACAGTGTTATAATTGACATCGCATTCCATTCTGAAAGTATTTTGCCAATTTAATTCAAGTGCTGAACGTGTTTGGCATTTTGATTTACATTGCTGTGGTTTATGAAAACATTTTGACATTTTAATTACACATTGCAACTCTAAATTAGTCTTTTCAGGTCCATGCAATTAGACTTTATATTGCATAACATGAACAGGTTTTGATATGACACATCAATCGTGATCATTCCTCATGGCTTATGTTAAATATAGCTATTTTGATTTAGCTTTACTGCCTATAAAAAGCAGATGATTAATTGTAGGTAAGGATGCTGATGAAATCAAATGCACGTGAAGCCTTTAAGCACTGTCACGCAGGCAGGAAATGAGCCACAGCCTTCAGCATTTTTAAGAGGTCTAAACTCAACAAGTTGTCATTAACCGGACATCTCAACCAAAAACTTTTCCATTTCAGCAATCATTTCCGAAATTGTTTCTGTATTGCTCTCATATCTAAAAGGCTCTAGATTATGTTTACCCTATTACTGTATATATACTATGACTAATCTGAGTCAGCAGTATACTTCAGAGTGCATTTGTCCATCTTCATGTGTGTTTATGGGTGGAAACTACGCTCTATGTACCCACTCCATGTATGATTCATCATGACTATTGAAAAGTTAATTTGTTCTTTCTTTGCTGATTGACGGCACAAGTTCCTCTTTAGATTTTTTTTTTTTTTTTTTGGTATGACAGACTGATTTTGTACATGTATATATTAAAACGGTTCATGATTGTTATCATTAGGTCATTAGGTGAACATGTTGATGTAGACTTTGAATGTCATTTACAGTAAATTCAAGTCAAGCAATGATTATTGTTTTCAAGACTTGTTTTCCCTATGTTATCAACAAAAAGCTTCTGATGTTTGTTTTAATTGATGTGCTGTCCATGGTGCTGAAACCTCTTAACGTCCTACTTCCCATTATAAAACTGGAAATATTTGCTTTCTTTTGTTGCAGCAATCTCACGAATTAAGAGTTTAACAGAAATAAAAAATTTGTCATATCAGAATTCAATCAATCATCAATCACTGGATTGCCTTAAAGGTTCCGTAAAATTAAAATAAAGTTGTTTTTTTTGTTGTTTGTATGTTACATTTACATTTTGAAATTATTGCGGTGGTTTCTTAAAGCATTTTTGTTTATGTTACAGCATTTTTTAGAAGTATAGTGTAATTTGAATTAATATAGCAGTGATTTATGAATGTGTTTTGCCATTTCAATTAAAGTTCTGAAACTATTCTGACATTTACATTCACATTGTAGTGGATTCTGCAAATATTTTGGGGATTTTTATTAATGTTACAGTGGTTTATGAATATTTTGTGGCACTTTATTTCACACTGCAGAGGTATATGGAAGTATTTTGGTGTTTTTATTCACCTTGCAGTGGTTTTTAAATGTATTTTGGCATTTTAATATACACTGCAGTGTTTTCTGGAAGTATATTTGGCCTTTTTGTCTGTTACAGTGGTTTACAGACGTATTGTGGCATTTTAATTCACATTGCAGAGGTTTGTGAAAGTGTTTTTTAATTTAATTCAAGTATTTAAAGTATAGTGGCTATTTCATGGCCATTTTTATTAGCAAGCCAGTTAAAATTCAAATAAAATTATTTAAAGTATTTTACAAAAGAACTCAGATTTGCTGTCCATGGTGCTGAATCGAACATTTAGCAAGCCTGTTTTTTTTAGAAGTATTGTGTCATTTGAATTAATATTGCAGAGGTTTATGAATGTGTTTTGCCATTTTATTTAAACTTCAGAACGTATTTTGGCATTTTCATTCACATTGTAGTGGTCTTGCAAATATTTTGGGGAGTTTTATTTATGTTACAGTGATTAATGGTGGATCCATGGTGCTGAATCAAACATCTTCAGCAGATCTGCTATATAAGAAATATTAAGTTACGCACAAGAAACCGAAACAAAAACTAAACTAAATCCAAGGTATGGTTCTAAAAGTTTATTCTATAAAACACTTGACCTTAAAGATGTGGAATAAAATTAAATTAAATTAACTATTTTACAAAAGAACACGAGCATCTGCTATATAAGCAGTGCAAAAAAGGATTTGTAGATCTTTTCTTTGATTATGTTTTAGGGGTTTTAATTAGAATCTTTTTTAACGTCCTTTTACATAATCACATGTTAAAAGATTAATACTTACCGAATGTTGAGACTGGTGGAGATTTTGTATCTCGTCAAAACACATCAATCTGTCATTCTTCAGACACTCGCTGTCAGCTTGTGCAGACGCAGCACTGAGAGAGACAGATATCAGACAATATGAGAGACGTCGCCCTGTGTTAAATAATGTTGCATAACCCAAACCCAACGCATGTTCACCCGCCGGCCGTTTGGTCTATTTTCCTCCACGTTGTCCTGTGTGTGGACAAAGAATAAGTCATTAATTCTACTTAACCTCACGTGGAGCTAAAAGACCTGAAATATACACTCCTCTGACCCTCGTTTCCCCCATACACCTAAGGAAAGTCATTTTAATTTCTCCCCACAGGCAAAAACATTATGTAATACACAATAATGAAGGCTTTTCATTTGTAATGTTCTTGAACATCATCAAAAAGCTTTTATCATACTAATGTTTGAGGCCAGAAACTTTTTTTAAGCAAAAAATATTTTTATTGCGTTATATGATTTAAATTGATCCAAAGAAGACTGAAAAAAAATAAAAAATTGTTGACTTTACTTAAAAAAAAATAAACCTGTTGCTTTTAAAGTAATTATTGGACTTCACTTACTAAAAATATTATTAAGAAAATGAACAAAAGTAAACTTTTGTCAGCTGACAGTTCCAACAGGGTTACTTACTATTTTAATTTTAGCATGTACTAAAGTAATTGCTTTTTCATTCGACATTCGAAATGTTGCAACTAATTTATATTTTAAATAAACCATGCTCACTTGAACTTTTATCATCTAAAAATGAAGCCACACACACAAAATAGTGCAGAAAGTAATTGTACTTAATAGAAAACTTAACATAATATAAATAAGTTACATGACGTCAAAATTTTATGTATTAAAATACTATAACATACCATAACGTAACGTAAGGTAATAAAACAACACAATATAACAACATAGCACACTGGAACATAATATAATGTAACACAATGAACATAACGTAACGAAACATAACGTAACATGCTGGAACATAACATAACAACATAACGTAGCAACAACATTCCATGCTGGAACATGACATGACATAACATAACATAACATAAGATAAACATAACAACATAACATAACATGCTGGAACATAACATAACATAACATACAATAGCAAAGCATAGCATAACATAACAAAACATACTGTAAAATAACATAACATAACACTCCAAAACATAACATGCTGGAAAATATCATAACAACATAACATAACATAACAGAACATAATGGAACATGGCATAACAACATAACATAGCAACAACATAACATGCTGGAACATGACATGACATAGCATAACATAACATAACATAACATAACATAACATAACATAACATAACATAACATAACATAACATAACATAACATAAAAATAAACATACAACACTGGAACATAATATAATATAACGTAACATAACAACATGCTGGAACATAACAACATAGCATAGCATAAAATGGCAAAGCATAGCATAACATAACATAACAAAACATACTGATAAATAACATAACATAGCACTCCAAAACATAACATGCTGGAACATAACATAACAGCATAACATAACATAGCATAGCATAAAATAGCAAAGCATAGCATAACATAACAAAACATGCTGGAAAATAACATAACATAACACTCCAAAACATAACATGCTGGAAAATAACATAACAGCATAACAGCATAACATAACATAACATAACATGCTGGAACATAGCATAACAACATAACATAGCAACAATATAACATG